GAGTGGACGAGTGGATTTTTCGAGCCCTGTATATTATACACACACACGTACAGGTAACCAGTAGCCCCCTCTACCTTACCATGTCTAATTTAAGACTTGAGAACCATGGCCACCTATTTAGCATCTCTTCAAGATTACTTTAGTTAAAAAATGAAATGCCCATTAGAACTACAGAGGGAACTAAAGGTGTCAATAAAGATCCCTACTCAACACTTGTTTTCAAATGATTCTCATCCCTCTATTCAGCCAAAGATCAAAATTACATTTATGTAAGAAAATTGTCTCCTTCACCCCTCTCTTCCTTGTTTAAAAAAAAAAAAAAAGACTGTTTGGCATAAAAGTTGTCTGTGTGCTTCTAGCGCTATAATGTTCAGTAGTAACCCCACACTTCTTGCAGGAGAAAATACTTACTGATTATGTCTTTGAGTTTAACTATTTTTGCTTAAAAGAGAACTATGGCCCAACCTTTTCCTTGCCATAGTTCTCTTTAGGGTCACAGGACATATACTAATGTCCTCCTGTGACCCAAAACTCAGTATATAATGGGCTATTGCCCACTATATGCTGACTGTGCTGAGCTATTCTCCAGTCTGGATGGTTCCCAACATTATTGTCGGGATCCACCTCGCTGCCTTATTGACAGCTGGCTCTGTCTAGAGGCAGTGTAATTACAGTCACCACTCTCTTCAGGCAGATGATCGGGAACCGAGTGATCGGCAGTATGTGTTCGCTCAGTTCCAGATTAATAGAGCCGACGTGTGACAGCTTCAGTGTCACACGTCAGCTCTAATTATGGGGATAAGTGGATTTCACTCTCCCCATAATTTTCCTTTAACATTTTTTTCATTCTGAAATTAAAACGTTCCTGATAATCTTACTGCTACTTTTGTTTACCTGCTGCTGATGCCTTGGAGCAAAACAGCTGAAATGTCTTTGACTTGTTCTGTGAATGCAGTAGTATTAGAAGGACCCATGACATTCTGAGTAATGAGGCACACGCAAGCTACAAGTTTAACTTGATGCAGTTTGTACTTTAAATCAAGAATACGCAAGTCATCAGTAATCAGTGTCTAAGAAGAAGAACAAAAAAAGAAGGTCAAATCACGTAATAAAATTGAAATAAAAAATAATGATTTATTTTTTTACACAAACCACAAAAAGAAAAATCATAACTTCAATAATAACCCACCTCTGGAACAGCATTGTCGTAGTCTAAATCCAGCAGTTTAGTGAAACCACTATTAAGAACCAGGGTTGGACTCAGGTTGTCCATAGATACTCCATTGACATTGGTTTCATTTTTTTGGGACTTTGCTTCTGCTGCACATTTAAGAGATTGCTGAATCCATTTAGTGGTTTGATTGAGCGAATCTGAAAGAAGAGAAATTTATCACATTGTTAAAGTTACAAGTTTAGATCTTCGTCACCAATTTACCTACAAAAGATGCTAAAATATGAGCTTACTCTAAGGGGATTTTCACTTTTGTATTAACAGTGCTTCTCCTCTTAACTTTCTCAGCAACTAGCATTCTCAGGTACAACATCGCACAAGCAATCTGCCACATAATGTAGAGACTTTGTCAGCTATCTTAAGCTGCCTACAGACTTCGCAGGGAGTTTTTAAGACTTTGCAGGGTTTTTTTTAACTATCTGAGTAGTAAAAATATGGAATTCCCTTTCACAGTCAGTAGTATCAGCTGATAGTCTTGATAAATTCAAGAAACATTAAGGCCTGGTTCACACCTAGTCGTATTGCATATGCGCGTCTGTTGCGCTGTTGTCGCGCGTTTCCGAGGGCTACTTGGCTGTATCCCAATGGAAACATTCCCCAAGTGCCTCTGTCGGCTAACGAAGGGAGGGGGGAGAAGTCCAGTGACGTTGATGTCCGTGACGTCCCCGGATCTCCGCCGGGACTCCTCGCAGCCCTAATATTTATAGTAGCATCAGTTGACTTGCTGTGGTTGTGTCTTTTACACTTGGGCATCCCTTTAGACTTGTGGTATTTTAGGAGGTCAAACAGTAAAAAAGGAAGTCATTTAACTTTGCAGTAGATGCAGATTAGATTGCGTTAGCTATACTGAAATATTTACACTACTTATAGATTCTACTAGCCTCATAATATAATATCAGGTGTATGTAAGGGGATATCCAGGTTACACTTTTGCAATATTCAATTGCAGAGCATTCATTTCAGCTCTTATTTGGGTTCATCTGCTATCCTATCAGAATCAAGCAGCGTGAATTATTTCTGACACTCTAGGCATATCTGGACATCTCAAAGAAATAAGTGAGATCATATTTTCCCTTACAATTTTCAGTGATAAACAGATTATTGTTAGTTATTTGTAATACTTTTATATTATTTTGTTTCAAACAAATTTTTTATATGACTTTCACATTGTTAACCCACTTGCTTTTCTGTTTTGTTGGTGTATTAAATGTAGAGATTTGTAGATTAGCCCCTAAAAAGGTGCGCTCAGAGGCTCAGGGTCATTACTTTAACAACAGTTAAAATTGGCCACACGTGGAGAACATTTTATTTCAATGAGTTGCCGGACTCCTCCCCCCTTGCCTTTGTTAGCCAACGGAGCCACTTGGGCCGGTGAGTTTGCCCAATAAACTTTCTGCACGATCGCCAGCCAAAGCATTGGCCTATACACATACAGCACAGCAATGAAGTAATAAAATTAACTAGGATCACACTAATTCAGCATGTTATTATTCGGAGTTGCCCCACTCAAGCGGTGGCCATATTGAGTGGGGCACGTGAGATTAATAACGTGCTGGATTAGTGTGATCAAAGTTCATCTTATTACTTCATTGCTGTGCTGTATGTGTTTGGATCTGTATGTGCGTTATAATTAAGCGAAATTAATCGATTAAAAATTTTTTCGATTAATCGAACACGAAAATTTTAATAAGTAACAGCCCTAATATAAATATATATATCACATACATATACACACCTCTATCTATATATATATACACACATGTTGAACTAGATGGACCCGTGTCTTTATTGAAGCTTACCTGCTATGTTACTATGTTACAGACAGAAAATAGAATGGTCAGTGCATAAACATACACACGTGTATTGGACGAGTGTGCATGTTTAATACACTATGAAAACAATCCAAAAGTTGGGCTTATCTTGAGCACACAATTGTGATTAGATTTTCGTAGCCAACCAGGTTGACCAACTATATTGGTCTGCAGAGACTGCATAGACCTACAGCATTGGTCGGCAGAGACCATACAGCTGTGATTGAACACCAGATGGGCAAAAAGGCTAAGGACACTTGCCATCACAGAAAATGAAGGAAACAATTGCCCACTTTCACTGTAACAAGTGGAAAACCCCCTTTAAACAGAATAGAGATAGCACACTGTTATAAGGTGGCAAAAGCGGGCTCATACGTACCTGGAGATTTCTCAAGGATGTCTTGGAATTTTACTCTTTCATAATCGGCTAACTGTCGCTGAAGTTGTGGTCTAACATTCTGAATAGTGTAATTAACCATATCCATTTTCATAAGGTCCAAAACATGGAAGACATCCCTGAAAAATATGAAATGTTAGGTTGAAACTCATTTTAACATATGGGAAAAGGACAAAACAAAAATCAAAGTAAGTTGATCCATAATCATGGCATCTTCTAGCCATTCAGTAGACTATGGACCATCCATAAGAATTAGGGATGTCCCGATACCGATGCTAGCATCGGAATCGGGCCCGATACAGGGCATTTTGACAAGTACTTGTACTTGTCAAAATGCCCCGAAGCCTAGCGCCGAAGCTTGCGCTAAGTTTTTTTTTCTTTTACTTACCTCGCCGAGCGTCGCGTCACTGCTGCTCCGGTGTGCGGCGCTCCGAGCGGGGTCATCTGGCAGTCTCCGGGTCCTAATTTAGGTGACGCTCGGCGAGGTAAGTAAGAAAAAAAAAACCCCGCAGCGGCCAGTCAGGAGCAGGTATGAGTCAGCGGCGCGCTGGTCAGGCGAGAGGAGCTCCAGGTGGGGTTCTAATTTAGCGGGCAGGCACCTCTAAGCCAGCTAAAACTAATAAGAATGTAAGCTGTGGTGTGCATGCCCACCAGAAGGAGGCCCTGGCCAAGATGTTTTGTTGGCAAAAACTGTACGCCACTGGGCAGGGTCACACAGTGAGAGGAAATGAAGGTATTTTTTCATTCGGGGTGGGGCATTTACTTAATGGAAACTTTCACTAAAAGTGAAGTTGTTCTTTAAGAAACAGTGTTCTACTTCACAGGATTTTGGTGGATTGTTTTTGTTTGATTTTGGCCTACCAAAATAACATAATTAGTCATCCTGGATATGCAGCTTAATTCACATAGGACAAAAATAAACCTGCAGCTCTCCTAACACATCTTTTATAAATGGATGAGCTAGACACTATTAATAGATGAGCACTTGGGCTTTCTGAATTCACAGCATGACCTTTGGGGCAGATGGAAACTCGCTAGCTCAAAAGGAGCTTTCCATTGATGTTGTCAGTTTGTAAGTCAAGAGATAGCCAGCTTTCTATCCCAAGTGTTCCAAATCGTGAATGCTGTACCTGCTCGTCTTTTATTTATTTAGCACATGCAGAAAATATTCTCCGTTACAACTAAAAATATCAATCCATTTTGGAGGTGGCATCCCAATCTTGCTGGCTAGTAAATCAATTCTTAAAAGTCTTGTAGACTCCAGCATTAAAGAACAGAGAAGAGAAGTGTGGAGGCTGCCATTGCATGTTTTTTTTTTAACTGAAAATGCTAATTGCCTGGCATTGTCTGACTTTAAAAGAAGAACTCTGGGTAAACCCATACTGCAAGGGATAAGTGTTAATTCCTGGGGGCTCATATAAAGCTCATATAAAAGCTACAGTACTCACCTAATCCTTGGTCCCGTGTCGGTCACTCATCTCACTCCTCTGCTCCAGCTATGGCATGCCCCTCGATGTCCTTACGTTTATTGCAGGTCAGTGGACCAGCATGAGTTGTGATGACGTCAGCAGTCCTTAAACAACTGGAGCCCAGGGGAGAACAGGCTGGGGGGGGGATCGGTCTGGCAGCCCAGAGAGAGCCAGCGGGACTGAGGATCAGGTGAATAATACAGCTTTATATGAGACCCCTAGACAAAATGAGCACTTAACCCTTGTAGTGTGGGGGGATCCCTACTACAAGGGAAGGGTAACTTTTCTGTTTGACCAGATTTCTTTAAATCACAGACCTGGAAAGAGCATGCTGTAAATAGGTGTCAGCATTCCTTATCTCTATACCTGTTCCAGGTCACAAGCCTTAAGCATTAAGGCTAAAGAATAAGCATGACAACCAGAGAAATAACATTCTTAAAAAGAGAGGTCGGCAGTGGCAGCCCCCATAATACATTTGAGGTTGCCGACCCCTGCTGTAATACTTATACATATTGTAAACAAACATGACCATGTAGGATTGAATAACCGTGTACTAACCGCAACAGTTGTACAATGTCACCAGTGGCTTTTAACTTTTTTACATCTTCATCTCTGACTGGAGCACATAATTTCCCCATGATGTTAATAATATAATTTCCAAGTTTGGGGATATCAACAGCATTATGTTCCGCTTGCTGCCTTATGAGGTCCACATCTAAAACTTCACAGATCTGGGTCCGTAGTCTGTTTGTACCCGGAGATAGAAAGGAAAGCAAGATCTACAATACAAAAATTGAAAACATGAAAAAATGCTGATTGGACATAGTAAAATGGTCCCGCTGTTGCAGAAAAAGATACATTAGGGCTAAAAATAGCTAATAAAAATGGATGTATACAGTATCGGTGTAGTACACATCAAGCTTGAAGGAAGCTTGATGTGACTTTTAGCAGGCTTGGAGGAGGCAGCCAATTCAGCTCTATACTGTGGGGAGAATTGATCAAAACTGGAGCAGACAAAATCTGGAGCAGCTGAGCATGGCAACCAATCAGCTTCTCTCTTCAGTTTGTTTAGTTAAGATTTGAAAATGAGAGAGAGGCTCTGATTGGTTGCCATGCACAGCTGCTCCAGATTTTGTTTGCTCCGGTTTTAATAAATTCCCTTCAGTATATCTACCTAAACAGAATTTTGGTTTGCACCACTTTGAAAAAATTAAAGTATAACAGTAAACTTACTTCTTTTATCTCATCAAAAAGCTTGATTGCATGTTCATACTGGGGAGGGTCTTCTTTTAGTTCTGACTCCAAACAATCCCAGAATGCTTTGTGAACGATCTCCTTTACCCTTCCTTCTAAACTGTTGAACACATCAATGACACAGGCATATATTACACATGTTTAGAATCACACAGCAAGACAAAACAGTGATTTTTAATACCATCTTTAATTTTTGTGCCTCTCAGATATTCAAGTTGAACTTGATAAACCTGTTCAAATTTCTCTACAAATGCATAGGAGAAACAATCGGGCACAATGTGGTCAGCAGACCAGTAAAGCAGCAGACAACAGAAGCCTCTCCTTTTACCTAAAGGCAATCAGGGAAAGTGCTTTGATGGGCAAAGCAGCATTAAAGATCCTCTCAAGATCCCTAAACAAATATAAACTGCAGATCCCTGCAACAGAAAAAGGTAGTGTACTCACGCTTCCAGTGGGCCATGTATTCTACCTTCCCTCCATTCCAGAACTGCACCCTCCACTAGACCCTTCAGCATTCCACACTTCTGCTAGTGTCAGAAGCTTGCACTCCCCATCTTGCACTGTGGTTCATTTTTCCAACCTCTATGTCACAACAGCACTGAGCAGTGACACTGGGGTCAGAGGATGGTGGCACAGTGTGCGGCAGGCAACGTAAGCCATCCAACACCAAATGTCAAATGCTAAGGAGTCTGGAGGCTTCAACACTGGTACAGGAGGGAAGAAGGGAGACATAGGTATGCCAGAGAGCTGATTATACTACCTCCTCTTCTGCAGGGACCCACAATTTGGATTTTTTTTTAGGGAACTGACAATCTATTTAGAATAGAAGATGACCACTTTACCACATTTCATTTACCAACTTTATGAGGTTTATAGTAAAATTGGGCTATACATCAGTATTTCCCAATCCTGTGCTGTCCTACCAACAGTTTGTCTTTGTATTTGTTATAAAAAAAAACGTAAGAATTTATATATACATATGTCACATTAATTTAAAGCTCATTTTGTCCTTCAAAAAAATGGTATATATGTGTATGTGCAACGAATGAGGAAGATGGAAAATTCTGGTTAAACAAACACATAGCAAAAATGGCAAAATTGCCATCATGAACAAAAACATTTTCCAAAGCGGTGTTACTAAGGGGTTAAATGCCCTGATGTGGCGTTTCTCTTCAAACATATATCCACACCGCTATAGCTATGAGAAGGACTATACAATAAATTAGTTTAACAGATTTAATTTCACTCATACCTGTTTTTAGGTGGATCAATGTTCTCCATGTGGAAGTTCTTATTTGCAACAATTTCATGGGCCAGTAACAGGTTTGACAGATTTCTTGTGGTTGACATAATTTCATCAAGCGTAGCTGTCTTTGGAGGACTTGCTATAAGCAAACGTTTACAAATAACTTTTTTAAAATGGTGACAAATACATAGGTTTATAAGGTAAAATGAGCAATTAAAGTTCTTCACAGTGATACCTAAAAAAAACAAGCAACCAAACAAAAACCTGCTATAAAATGAATAGTGTGTATGTACCTAGAGGTTCCTTCATGTACTTGCAGCAGCTTACATTTTCCTCCTGTGCCAGAATTGTGGGCCGTTCTGATAAGGCAAGTCTCTGGAACCTCTGGGTAGTGTCACAAGTTTGCCCACACCCTCCCACTCCCTATACATTCCTATTGGCTCATCATTATGATGGGCTTCTTTACTGGCCAATAGAACTATCAGAACAGCCCAACATTAAGGGGTAGTTCACACCATATGCAGTTGTGATGCAGTCCGTTCAGTTTGACTGCTGCAGCCAAAATACATCACAATGCTTTCCTATAGGCTTTCTCGTGCATGCAAACGTGCTGTATTCACACCATTGAAGTCGGTTCTGATGCAGGTCAGAAAAAGTACCGCTTGTCCTATTTTAGCTGCATCTAACTGCACCGAAACGCATCAAAATGCATGCAAATGCAACGCATAAAAAAAACCCAGAATTGATTGTGGCATCATCCAGGGGGGGAAAACGCAGCTGAGCGCATCAAAACGGATCGCAATGCAACTGCACGCAGTTGTGATGCAGTTTCTGGTGTGAAATAACCCTCAGGAGCAATGATAGATACTGCAGGTATAGGAATATCTAGGTGCTGGCACTTTATACCTACCAGTAGCTTTTTTTTATTTAAGAGTCAGGAATAATCATTTCACTCAGCACTTTATGTGCTTGAGTTGCCACACGAGTGATCCCAATACATTTTAAACAAGCTTTAACCCTCTATGTCAGTAACACTTGTTCTGCACCTAACTAGATGAGTTTATTATATTGGAATTGTTCTTGTCAAGCAATCAAATATTGCTTTTTTACATGTGCCTATTGAGTAAAATGATTTGAGTGCTGCTCTTTAAATGAGAATTGTAGCTTGTTTTCTTTTTAATGACAAAGTCATTCGGCTTAATGTAATAATTTACAAATTGTTTTTCTATGGAGCGTTTATAATTATATACGTACATGGAGGAGACCATAGTTGCTTATTACATATGCAGAGTCTGTTTCCTGTTCATGGCAGCACAGTGGTGTAGTGGTTAGCACTTCTGCCTTGTAGCACTGGGGGTCCCCAGTTTAAATCCCGGACAGGACACTTTCTGCAAAGAGTTTGCATGTTCTCCCTGTGCTTGTGTGACTTTCCTCCGGGTACTCCGGTTTCCTCCCACACTCCAAAGACAGGCTGGAAGGTTAATTGGCTCCTGTCTAAATTGGCATCAGTATGCATGTGAGATAGGGACCTTAGATTGTAAGCTCCTTGAGGGCAGGGACGTATGTGAATGTGCACTATGTATATTGTTGGTGCTATATGAATACCTTTAATAAATAAATAAATAAATGTTCTGAAATATAGCACAGTGAGTATTCCACGTTGATTCTCTTATTTCAGTGTCACACAGAATGTGTTGGGTAAAAAAAACACACACTGTTCTTAGGAGCTATACTGTTTGGCCATAGGTTGCCTTGGCTTTAGGGAGCTCAGAAACAACATTTTCATTCAAGGCAAACAAGAGGCATATTATTCTTCAGAATAATGATGTTGACATGTGCCCTATTGATTCACATGAAATATGAAGCTTATAGGATGATGCCACTTTCCTAGGTGAATTTTGGAAAATGGAATTAGCCTCTCCCTGCTATACTGACCTTTGGGAGATTGCTCCTTCCCCTCCGCTGGTGAACTACCTGTGCCCCACACTGCCATATAGCGCAGCGCAGCACTGCACTCTGTATTTTGAATCTCACTGCAAATGGGGAGCACTTGTTGGTCAGCATGGTCATCTGACTGCACCGACCAAGGAGAAGCGCTTCTGACCATGCTGACCAATGAGAAGCAAGAAGCGATTCTCATTGGTCACTATCTGCGAGCGAAATTCAAAATACAGAGCACAGGGCTGCGCTACATAGAAGTACGGTGTACGGATAGTACACCGGCAGCGCCAGAGGGGAAGGAGCGTCTGCCCAGAGGTAGGTTTAGCCTGCTTCTCTATAGATACAATGTTGTCCCCATAGTACAGGAAGTGTGTTACAACTACAGAACATCTTCCTCTCTCCTCTTCTCCATAACATAGCGGGAAATGTTCTATATTCCACAAAGGTGAACTGTGCAGGACTGATAACACTGCTAACCAATAACAGTGAAACAGGGGTAGAGCACAGGAAGTTACAAGCTCACTAGATTTTTGGCAGGGTCAACTGGTATTAGTAACTGGTATAACAAAACACTTTCAGTGGTGCATATGAGACAAAAGGGAGCAAATAACAGAAGCTTATTGTAAGGGTTTACATGAACTTTAAATGATTGTTCCACTTTAATGCTTATAGTGGTGAATTATTCCAGCCACAAGGAGGCTGCCTGGGCATGTCCCTCATAATATGAATCAGTTGCTGTGACTACAGTAAACTATTCACACTTATAAAAGGTTTATTAGGAGCATGCACATTCCCATGAAACTGATACACAGGAAGCGTACGTACCTATGAATATCAAGTTGTCATACCAAGGTTACGATAGGCTAATGACAAACAGCTACAACCTAATAGGCACTTACACACAGGGGAAGCATGTTTGCTTGAAGAGTCACTGGTAAAACTATCCCGCGGAGACTCGCTGTCACTAGATGAACAAGCCATGCTCTCAGAAAGGCGAGATGTGTCCGAATCACTTAGGTGGTCCTCATGTTCTTTCTTGTCACTGTATGGCATTTTAGTTGCTGTAAACAAAGAAGTCCAGCATATGAATGATCTCAATAGGGCAAAAAACCCAGGTTAAATACACTACTCTGAAGCCAGTCATAGAAAGGACAATGGCAAGACAAAGATTCCAAAAGTCTCCTGTAAAAAAAAAAAAAAAAAAAAAAAAAAGAGTACCAGTCATAGAAAGGACATTGGCAAGACAAAGATTCCACGGTCTCCTGTAGAGGAGTCATAAATTGTAGCCAATAAACTCCAAAATATATAGCACTGCTTGGAAAATGCCTATATAGTGAATTATTTCCCAGAGCGCAGGACAGCTGAAATTGTATGTAGATAAAACAGGCAAAATTAAGTATAAATAATATCTGAAATAGAAGTTTGGATAAAAGAAAAGAATAGCTTGGAGTCAAGAGAAGCACGTCATTGAGGGGAATTTATCAACACTGGAGCAGACAAAATCTGGAGCAGCTGTGCATGGCAACCAATCAGCTTCTCTTTTTCATTTTCAAAACTTAACTGAGCAAACTGAAGGTAGAAGCTGATTGGTTGCCATGCACAGCTGCCCCAGTTTTTGTCTGCTCCAGTCTTGATAAATTCCCCCCATTGTGTGTGCATATGGGTTGTGCAATTATTTGGAAAACAACCGAATTCAGCATCTTTGGTTTTATCCAACAAAAGATTCCTTTGTCTGTGGAGAGTGGTCACCCATAAATTATGATACACAAAAGTGGGTGGATGTGCCCCTCTAATGTGCGTGTACTGCTTAAATTGAGTATAATTGGTCTGCATGTTGCAGAGTGCCGAGTGTAACTGGTCTGCATGTTGCAGAGTGCCGAGTGTAACTGGTCTGCATGTTGCAGAGTGCCGAGTGTAACTGGTCTGCATGTTGCAGAGTCGCGAGTGTAACTGGTCTGCATGTTGCAGAGTCGCGAGTGTAACTGGTCTGCATGTTGCAGAGTGTAACGGGTGCATTCTGCAGTGTGCAGACTGTAACTGGGGTGCTTTCTGCAGTATGCTGGGTGTAACTGAAGAGCATGCTTCTTTGTGTAATTGGGGTGTTCTGAGTGCAGTTAGTGTGCATTTAGTGTGCATGCTGCAGTGTGCGGTGTGTAACTGGGGTGCAAGTTGCAGAGTGCTGAATGTAACCAGGGTCCAGTGGCAGTACAGGGAGTAGAGATGGCAGCATGACTACTCCTGTCAGATGGCGGTTGGAATGGTGAGCCAATGCTGGAGAGAGCCAGGAGGAGGTGTGGTCTGCTCTCATTCTCCAATTGTGATTGATCAAAGAGAGGGAAAAGGCCAGAGTCCCCGAGTGCGGTGTTGCTATGGCAACTGCTTCCGGTGTAGCCAGAACAAGCTGTAAAGTGAAATAGATGGTGGTAAGGGTGATTTGTTGATCTCTTCCATATTGTCCAGTTAGATCTCCACCTCTCCAGGGCTGCCTACCCTTTGTATAAAGTGGGAACAAATGCATTTACAATATGTTGTAGTGCACAAGCTCAAAAAAAACAAACACCTGTTGACCTATTGACTGAACAAAACACAGAAAGTCAACTCAAAATGGACATTTATTTTTTTGTAGGTGAAAGAGAATTAAACCACTTACATCCTCATACAACAAATAGACAATATTAAAGTATTTTTCTTAAAGAGGAACTCTGGGAATCTAAAACGTTAAGTCTTGCAGTGAGGTCACCCCTATACTGCAAGGGTTAGCTGTTCATTTTTGTCTAGGGGTGCAAATAAAGAAAATACTCACCCGATCCGTGATTCCGCCTGGCTGCTAGACTAGTCTCCGCAGCCTCTTCTCCCCCTGGCTTCAGCAGTCTAAGAACCCGTGTCCTCATCATGTTTAATACAGTCTATTCACTTGCATTAGATGTAAGGATGCCAATGGACATAGCACAGCTGGAGCAGAGGGGGAGAGGATCTGAGGGTCAAATGCTCTCCGGACTGAGGATCAGGTAAGTTTATCTTTTGCATTTTTTTTTTATTATTGTCTGCTGTCCCCCTTTGTCACATTGAAAATATATCCTCTTACTTCCTGTTGAGTCTACAGTACAGGAAGTGAAGGGAAATCTTCCTAATGAGACACAGATGGCAAAAAACAGCTTCTGATTGTATACTTTAAGTGTTAATTCCTATATGCAGTATACCACAATTAGAATTTCATTTGATAAAGTAGAAGTAGAAGATTATTGACTGGCTTCTATGGATTGCTGATCTTTATAATTAGAACTTTAGGCCATCCAAAAGTAATATTTCAGTTAGAGATGGAGTCCCTGTTTTTTTATGTGTCCTAGGATGCCAACAGCGTAATCTCCATACCATATTACCCAAATCCGTTCACGCATCTCCTGGTGCATTTCCTATATTATAAAATAAATCCAACAGGGGGAGTGGGAACCCTTCATAATAGCCAAAGAAAGTGTTCAGACTAAATCTTCTATTTATTATGATGAATACCACATGTTGAGTGGGCACAGCAACATTTTTAAGGTGGATGGGAGCAGAACCAGGATCTATGGCAGGGGTGGGCAACTCCGTCCCTCTTGCTGTTGTGGAACTACAAATCCCATGAGGCATTTTAAGATTGACAGTTACAGGTATGACTGCCAGAGGCATGTTAGGATTGGTGGTTAAAGCACAACTGGAGGGCTGGAGTTGCCCACCCGGTCCTGTGAGCTGTTGTGGTCTCAAAGAGATATAGGAAGCTAGTAGGGGATTCAGTCCATCAAACTGCACCCCCGAATTAAAATATTGCTTTAGGGTGGACTGACTGGTCAGCATGAATAAAATGTTACATACAGGCTGTAATAATTGTGATGTGAAACATCATCTGCTCTCCACGGAAAAGCTGGAGCTGTACATAATAACTAAAAAGCTGGCGTACCCAATGATGAGTAGAAGATGAGCACTGTTTATTATGGCAGCATTTCATCACTTTTATGGAGTGGGGGGGAACAAGCATTCAAAAATAAAATTGAGGGGTTCTGTGGACTCAAGCCAATACTCAGTCTCAATTCTAATCTCATACTTAAAAAGCAGAACTATGAGGTGAGCGCTTTTCACTCACCTCATAGTTCTAGCCGACCTGTGACAATGAGACTGTCACAGGTCAGCTCAGTAGATCGGGAGGTGAGCGAACACATACCGGCGTTCGCTCACCTCTCGATCCTGTCACAGCTCTCTGCCGTGACAGGGGAGGCGCTGGATTCCACCCTCCGATCCTCCAGCGCTGACTGGCGGAACGGACGGGGGAGGGGGCGAGTACAGCAGAGCCAGCTGTCACTCACGCAACTGGGCGGATCCAGACATAATTGTCGGGATCCGCTTCAGCGTCTCAGTATACCGCAAGCTGTAGCTCCCTGTATACTGTGCTTTGGGTGACGGGAGGACGCTAGTTTGTGTCCTCCCGTTACCCTTAGGAGAACTATGGGGAAAAGCCCTAACCCCATAGTTCTCCTTTAACCGTTTCCTGCCAAAACCCTTAACCCAACTCCCAAATGTGAGTCTGCAACTCTTAACCTTGCCTTCTACATCCCAGCCTCAATCTTCACCCTTACCTTTCTGCTGAATAGGCTGATGTTCGAGCCATGGGTGGTCCTGTTGGCACCGCCTGGCCTGACAAACTTTGAATAAACAAATCAAAGGAGCTGGGTGGAAAATTGTTGGCCAAACAGCACCTGCATCTAATCAAATGCAGAAACTGTTGAGGAGGGTGCTGTGACTATCTGAATACAATACCTGGCAGGGAAGATGCCTCCATTCACACTACCCAATGTGGATGGGGGAATCAACTTTAATGCTATGGCTAGCATTAAAGTGTATGTAAAGCCCTTATTTTTAGTTTTGGAAAGAGTGGAGAAGGGTTAAGAGATTCACCGGGGCAAAAACTAAGGAAACATCCAAGAGTTTAGGTTGCTACTGTAACAGGGAGAGAAGATAAATATTCCCAAGGGGACATCTGTTTTAGTGACACCTAGGAGGGTATTTCCTTTACTTTGAAGACATTTTCTCTTACTTCCTGTTGTGTCTATTCGACAGAAAGGAAGCTAAAGAAGGCAAAACAAGGTTAAACCATTCTGTACTCTGTCCAAGAGTAGAATGTATAGGCATTAGATGTGGTTCAAACTAAGCTAACTAATCCCTAATGCTAACCTAACTTATCCCCTAGGGCAGTGGTGGCGAACCTTGGCAATCCAGCTGTTTTGGAACTACATGTCCCATAAGGCATTGCAAGGCTCTGACAGCCACAGACATAACTCCCAGAGGCAGATGCATGTTGAGATTTGTAGTTTTGGCACAGCTGGAGTGAACTAACCCTTTGTTCTGTTTACTCCACTCATTCAGAAGCCAAGCCAAATCCCAACACTTGGGGCTAAAGATACTAGAATGACAAGAACTACTGATCAGTGAGGAAGGTGCTTACATTGTCTACTATGGAGCAGTGATGTGCATGGGATTGGTAAAAAAACAATTTGCCAGAGTTCAGCCAAGATTGCGCAAAGCTAGAGGTCACGAAAGAGCAGGGAATGCCCCTGCCGCATCTGGGCCGGGAGGGGGGTGTTTCAGTCACAGTTTTGCATGCGCTTGGGTACACTACTAAGGAGAAGGAACTGCAGGGTCTGTAAACTTTGTAGACTCTACCACACCAACCAAAAGCTCAAAGTTACACTACTTTAAACTCAGGAGTTAAATCTTAAAAATGCATTCAAGTACCTTAACTATTAACAAAAATGTATCTTATTTGTGTATCGCTCAGCTGTAGATCCTCAAATCATCTCTGGATTGGAACTGACACTGTCCTTCCTTCTGGAGGGTGGCTACTTTTGTTCCCCATGGTCCCTGTGTGTGTTGTAAAGTAGCCACCGCTCCAAGCTCACTTCTTTGATGGACTACAATCTCATATTTAGTTTACTCATTTGTATTGAGAGTGTAGTCCATCGTGGGAGTGAGCTTGGAGCGGTGGCTACTTTGCAACACACACAGGGACCGTGGGGAGCAAAAGTAGTCACCCTCCAGAAGGAAGGGCAGTGTCAGCACCAATTCAGAGATGATTTGAGGATCTACAACTGAGTGATACACAAATAAGACACGTTTTTGTTATTAGTTAAGGTAATTGAATGCACTTTTAAAATGTAATTCCTGAGTTTAGTGTCACTTTAAAATGCTTCTCTGCACCCATCTATATTATTATCATATGAAATTGGGTTTGCCTGGTGTTCCCCTGGTGAGCAGAACCAATGTAAATACTAAGAGCTGTAGTGTGTTGGATACCTAACAGACATTAGTTTCATAAGTGTGATTTTATATATTTGTAATCTTCATTATTACAGATCTTATGTCTGTCTATAGTTATTGCACACAAGTGGTAAAGCAGGACTCATCCTACACTGGATCCTACTCAGTGCAGTCCCTAGGTGTAAGGTGATAGTGCTCAGACACCAGCTGGTAAACAGGAGCACTGCCCCATAGGAGATGATCACTTCATTCGGACCTTACAAGGCAAAGCTTTACAAGATATCAGGATGTGCCATTTACAGACATCAGTAAACATCTGCAGGAAGCCGTATACATAGGTGATGCATCAGCTAAGGTGCAGGATTCTGTTCTGTGAGGAGAAAGCAGCTTTCTCTGCTGATATCGTATGCACAGGCTCCTTGTGTTGTAGTTCTACATGTACCAACAGTGGGCAAGCTCTCTTATGAAGGGGCTGAGAGCCTGTTAAATCGGACCTTTACACTCAAAAATCAAATTCTACCAATGCATCCCTCTATGTATGATGATTAATAATAATATAGACATGTCAGGTGTAAAATGCTGTAATTTTAAAATACTTACACTTGCAGAACATTCACTTCCTGCTTTGAAAGGGCAAAATGACTTCAGATTGCCAGCGCAATGCACACTGGGATTGCCTTGTCATCAGCAGAGCATTGCTGGGAAATCTCATCTGTAATCTCATGCAATCACAGGGAAAAGGCATTTTCCTCCCCTGAGATGATGTGCATGGTCACATGCCCTAGTCACATATCTAGTAACATGTGCCAGAAATCCAGGAAGTAAAAGGAGAGCTAGTAATCTGCCCTTAGTAAACATGGCCACTGTCAGAAGACTGGATAAGAAAAGAGAAATAAGGTATGCAAAGAATACAAAGTCAGCAGTGATCTAGAAGTATGTGTTTGTAGATTGTCATTAATAAACATTTCTAAAGGTGTGTTTGTTGTTATTTTTAAAGATATGGGTAAAGTTCCTCTTTAATTAAAAGGGATGCACAGTAGGTCATCTCTCATATTGTCTTTTTAGGACTCTTGTACATGTTCACCCACACCCGTCCAGCATACATACTGGTGTATCTCCCCTGCCAAGGAGCCACAGAGGCTGTGTACAGCCCCCCATATAAGTCAATGGCTGTACATGGGTATACGCCGGTACTTCCGTACACTCATGCATGTGCACACACGTGCAACTCTGGATGTACAGTCTGAATTCAGGAATTCTGTGTGCAATATCCCTTTTCCTGGCTCATCCTCATGTCGGCACAGTATGAGTCAGCTCCTCCCCCTCTGACCCCACAGGACCACCTTTAACAAGCCAATAAAAGGGAGCTCCCCCCCCCCCAGGTCAAAATGTACCATGAACGTTGGATCCTCCCTACTGCTTCCCAGCCGGGTTCAGCCTCTCCCGGATTGGGAGGCCCCTCGGAGGGTAGTAAATCTCCCAAGTGAGCAGGTGATCCCTTATAGTTATATATCTTTCTCTGTGGTTTAGTGGTTAGCACTTCTGCCTTGCAGCACTGTGGTCCTTGGTTTGGACCCCAGCCAGGACACTGTCTGCATGGAGTTTGCATGTTCTCCCTGAGCATGTGTGGGTTTCCTCCAGGTACTCTGGTTTCATCTCTAGACATGCTGGAAGAGTAACTGCCCCCTGTCTAAACTGGCTCTAGTATTTGCATGAGATAGGAACCTTACACTGTAGGCTCCTTGAGGGCAGGATCTCAACATACCGGGGCGGAATTTATCAAAACTGGGACAGACAAAATCTGGAGCAGTTACCCATGGCAGCCAATCAGCTTCTATCTTTCCTTTTCAACACTAAACTGAAGAGAGAAGCTGATTGGTTGCTATGGACAACTGCTCCAGATTCTGTCTGCTCCCGTTTTGATCAATTCACTCCACAGTATCTTAAGTGCAGTGTAAATTGACAACATATATATATATATATATATATTGAATAATAGACTCAACACTGTAGTGTGGGAAAATAAGGCCGCGGCCCCTTTATTGGGTTTATAAATA